TGATAAAAGGTTCTGAGAAAAAAATATTTTTTGTTGAAAGCTACAGACACGCTTTTTTTGTTTTTTTTAACTTACATTTTGTTTTCAATTTTCACAAATAAAAGCAAACATTACAATTTGTCTTAGCTCTGATAACACCAAGGTGAAATTGACTTTTTCCCCCTTTTGATTATGTTTGTCATCAAAGAATATGTTGACATAAAATGAAGTGGGGGGGCCCCCCCCCCTTTAATTTTTTTTGTATGTAGCTCACAATAAAAACTTACCTGATCTCAGTAAAATGTAGTGACATAATTATGTGGCAAAGATGCGAGGACAGCTGACTTACTGGCAATGCACTGCCTTGCAGTACTTGTTAGTTAAGCTTCTCACTGTGACTTGTAAAAACCTTCACTTTTTAACATACCGTCAAGAGTTTTGAGCCTTTTCCTCTGCCTCAGCATGGTGCTAATTGTTACTAGCAGATGACTCAAATGTTAATTTTTGCTGCTTTTAAATAAAATAAAGGTCACACGTTTGCAAAGCATGTTTTTGACTCCAGCTTTGTTTTTTTTTTTTTGTTTTACTTTCCCTGTGTGCCCACCAGGCCTGAATTGTGCAGACTTCCATGCAGGCTCGGCGGCGGCCTGGTCCAAACCAGCTTTACCCGCACGTGCCGGCCGAAGCGGAAGAGGAAACCGAAACATCGGCCACCGCGCCGCCGCAGCGGTCAGCCTCCACAACTCATTTTTAAACGTACATTTGGTTTTTGCTGGGAGTTCTTACATTTGTCTGTCTGTCATAGGCTGCTAAAGACTGTGGGCCCGAGCACATCCTGGCCTCGGTCAAAGTGAGCAAGTGAGTCCCAAAATTAGATTTTCATTATTACACTACTGTACTAACAAAGTTTGGGATATTTGGCTCTTGGGTGACATTTCAGGATGATCGTCAAATGCTCTGGAATCTTTACAGTCAAACTTAATTTTATTAGTCACATTTTTGAATTTGCACCAACTACATCGCATCAATACTTTTTACTGATCTATAACGAACTGACTGGCAAGACTCACGATGGGTATGATGCCTTTCTATGATTCTTCCAGTTTGTTGCAACCTTCCGATTACACACAACTAGCACTGTCAAGTATCAAAGTGCTTTGCAAAGTTCAGGCTAACTTCACTATCTGTACAGCAAGATGGCAAACAACAAAACACGATTCATGGCCGACTATTGTGGAGTTTGAACATTGTACCACCCGTGCAGGTGCGAGCTGCAGCCACATGTGGGTGTGCGCATCAGGAAGGCAGGGGCGTCCGCCGGTGCGCGCCTCGCTAAAAACCGCCCCAACGGAATCATTCAAGGTAATTCGCAAGAGTTGACCCCCCCAGCCCCGAAGATATTTTGCACTTTTCAATTACAGTACCAGTATTTGCATAAATGTGCATTTTATTTGAAATGGTATTTTGAGCTGTAGATTTAATAAAGATGGGCCTTGACCCATTTTTTCCTCTTTTAAGACTTTTGTGCATAAATGCGCCTTTAGTTTAAGGTGGCATTTTGAAAAGCATGATGGCTAGTGGAGAAAACATAATAGGGTTGGAGTTGTTTTTTTTCCCCCCAAGCGCAACCACGCTCTATACACCATAGCTAGTTGTACTTTGCTCCAATAAAAGGTGATTCAATATTTATCTCTACACATAGGTTACGATTTTAATTCAAGAACGGTTCACTGAAATCGATTCAATTCACTCACATCTTTTAAATCACAAATTTAAAAACAACTTTCATTTAAGATGGTGTTATTTTTTTGTGCCCTCCAGGAGCTGATGACGAGCGAAGCAAGCAGCAGACGTGTAAATCCCTCAAGAGGACCACTGCCCGAGCCCATGTTGTGAAATAGCGAGCGCTACGAAGGCCAATCTGGGCACTGCGCATTTCCTCAACAACCTGTGGGCTGGCAGTGAATAGCCTCGTCAGAACAATAGCGCCAACTTTAAAACCGACAGCCGTTTTATCTCTTCCTCATGAAGTGGCCAGTGAGTGTCATGTATATTTCCGTATCATTGAGTGCAATCATATTGTCGTCAGGTCCAAGTGCCTTCACCACAGTGAGTATAACCAAGCAGCGTTTACCTGCATTTAATATCACTCTATATCTTCACCAAACACTGTACTGTGACACGCTCACCTACAATTTAGTGGTACCTTGAACTCACGAGTGCCTCAAAGATTTTTTTTTGTCAGTCTTGTGGGACCCAAGAACAAACAAAAAAAAAAATCATGTTTAATTAATTAGCTGAATAATTGGTTATCTGAATTATTTCTGGCAATTATCAAAATCTGCCCCCCCCCAAAAAAAAATAAAGAAAATAGATCGCCCTCGCTCAAATGCGAACACTGGCAAGGACTGAAGCAGGCCTGTTCAATGTGGAAACAATGTCACCAGCGGGCCACGGCGAGGGAATAGCTTCCTTCCGCAACAACACGCGTGGAGTTGTGTACTCACCCCACCACGGTTTACCATCTGTTCGTAAAAGCCACTTCCAACTCGTGGTGGAAGCAGAGTTTTGGTGAGCCAAACTGACTCGGTCCTCGACACACGAGCGGCCAGTGGCTAACAAACATTTCCTCTTCTCGAAACACGCCCACTCACCTTTACCAGGTGGTCAATTACCACCACCTGTGCTATTGCCCTTGACGGACAGGCAGAATTTCCCAATAGGCGCACCTAAAATAACCCAGGGGCTACACACGAATACTACAGTGCATACAGTAATTCTCTTTTATATTCCCTAATATTTACTTTTGGGGCTGCAACAAAATGATGACATTTCAATGGGGAAGATTAGAAAGACGAGCAAAGTGAAGTTGAGCTCGGTCAAACTCAAAAGTCAAGATACCACTGTGCACACATTTGAGTGACGAGCACCTTCTTACCGAACCTCATTCTGTAAAATGTTGCCTATAAGAATCCACTTCAATGCTGCTCCTTTATACACGTTGGATATTGTCTCGCATTTTGTGTGTTTTCATAGATTCCGGCGAGTTCCGCTCGAGCGCCGCCGCCGAAATTTGTTAAGATGTTTGCTTGAACTTCCACCATTTGTTCATCCTTCTGTGATTAATTTTAAGAAAAATACGTCCAATGTAAAATATTCTCTGTGAACCACTAAGTGTTGAATATTATGCTATAAAAGTATTTTGTCACCATTATGTGTCCGTCTTTTTTTTTACTGTGGCTTCATTATAGGCTAAATATGATTAATATACACTAAATCTGTGAAAACGCTCATTCACTGCAGAGTAGTTACCTAATTTGATTTAATTTGTCTGAAAATTATTCTACAGGTATTAAAATTGATCATTGTTCATCCATATTTACACTTATCTTTCGTGACAAGCAGAACAATTAAAAGCTCTTCCACAAATGGTATGCAATCAACCATGAGGTGAGATGATTTTTTTTTCTGAAGTACTGTACTCGTATGTGCCTTTGCTCAAGGGTTGGGAAACGCTGCACAAAACATGATTATAGATAAAAGTAGAGGAAAGGAAATTTCTTTGCATGTTTTATTGAAAAAGAAGTAACTACTGCACAATCCTTTGGAAATTTGAGGGGAATTGTTTTGTTTCCTGGGAGGGTGAGGTGGTGGCGATTCCCATCTGCAGAGTGAAAAAAACAATTGATGACATTACACTTGTTTTTCTTTATAGAGCGCCTCACTGTTTTGGAAACCAAAATTAAGTATTATGAGTCTTCAAGTGTATTTCCATTTTGACAGTATCTGCTACTAAAAGTGGTATTGTTTGGATCCATGCTCTCCATTTCTTTTCATTTTGAGAGGTTCAAAAGTTTTGTCTTCCCATCACACGATAAGTTGACCCTGGCTTCATATGATCACCTAACAGGATGCCTTGTTGGCTGCTGCTGAGATTGCACTCACCTGCCCAGGGTGCGACTGGTTTTTAATCCTGCTTCTTGGGATTGTTGACGGCCACGTAGTGGTACAGCACCACCAGCAGGAACAGGGACACGCCAAGCATGTTAGCAAAGATGGCCAACTGCGCGTCTGTCACCATTCTGTCACGAAAAAAAAAAAAGAAATCAGACCACAGATAGCACATTTAATGTACAACATAAAACAAATAGGGACATCCTTTTAAAATTAATTAACTTGGAAACTGGGGGAGGACAGTTTGAAAGGCAAGGGGTCTTGAAAGTGGGAAGGAAAGAAATTAAGAAAAGCAAAAGGAATGGAATGAACACGGATGGTATGAAATGATGTGAATACATTATTTCCATTCATCTTTGTGGACATACGAAGCTAAGTTGTACTCGGTAACAGCAGCAACAGAAAATCCTGTCCAAAAATACAACACATCTTCATGGAAAATGCTCAAAACTGTTCGTTGAGTAAGCTAGTAACATCAAGCTGGGGTTGTTTAGCAAACAATACATCGACACATTGACCAAATCAGACCGTGTACGTTTGTAGTAAGTTTGCGGAACAATATGACTACTTACATTATCCCTGTAGCTGTTTTCTTCGAAGAAATGTGACGATTTTAGGACGAGCTCTTCGGACACGAGAACTTCAATCTCTTCCGGTTTAAGAGGAAAGCCACGTCACGTTTACCCAGCTGAATGATGCATTCCATGTACCTAGTTAAATAGGAATTACCATTGACAAATAAACGTTGTACTGATTGGATTTTAATAATACTACATTTTATTTATAAGCGCCTTTCAAAACACTCAATGACACTTAATCAGGAACAAGAACAATAAAACCACAGATAAATTGTACAGTGTCCTTGTGGTGCAAGCAACGGTTCGTAACTCAAATACTCGGAAGTTGGGGGAACATTAGAACAGCGTGCAAATACGTTTTTCCACTTCTGCTTTGTTGTTTTGGTCCCTTGCCATTCGCATGCTGTCCAAATACCACCGGCCCATAGTAAGAAATGACCTAAATTCACTTATAGTCGTTGAATCATTCAGGTCACGCCCACGCAGTGACGGTATTCTTTCACCACAACAAAAAACAGCTGGAAGACGTACAATATGGCCGCCGCGTCGGTCGTAGGGCTCGAAGCACACAACATGGATGAGAAGAAATTCCAATACTTCTCGTCCATCAATTCCATGGCCAAGAAGATCATGCAGGAGCGGGAGAAAATCAAAAACCAGCACGGCTCGACGTGGGACAAAATGTCGCCGCAAGAGCAGGACAACGCCATCGACAACTGGATGATGGACCCGCACATCCAAGCCCGATATGCAATGCACCGGGTGGACCGGGAGGAGGTGGTCTGCTACCCCAAGCTCCTTATAGAGACCGGACAGAAGATCGTCCGTTTTGGGGAAGAGGTGCCTAGAGACGTTCACTATGCGGGTTGAAACCAGAGCGTTTTTAGGCCATTCTTGCTGCGTTGCTAACCGCTAGCCACGTAGCAGTGGATACAGCTAGCTTGTAGTTTCTGCCTTGGAAGTTTTGTATGGCTGTGTTTAAGTTAACATCTCGTCACTAATAGTTGACGACATATTGTAGTCACTTCGTCCTTTTTAGTGCTTTTGGAGAGTTCTAGTGAGCACAAATTATTTCTGAGTTTTCTCGTGACGTCACGAACCTAACAAAGCCATTGTCAGCGCCTAAATCAGCGTTTTTCCTCTTTTGTGTCCAGGACATCACATGGCGAGACGAGCATTCAGCCCCATTCTCATGGGAAACCAAGGTAAACGTGATTAATTTAAAGTCATTGTGACGCGTCTTATAAACAGCTGACCGGGCGGGATGCCTTCAAAACAAGGCTCCCCGATCCAGTCAAGGCTGCGCAGGAAGGAGCTTTTGAAGACAATGCAATGATCCTTTCTGTGGAAACCCTTTGAATTGAAAAAAAGGTTGGAGCCTTAAGTAACAGCCAAATCTGTGAGCTAGGTATGAATTTTTCTCCATGGTGGAATTGGCTTTTTTTAAGGGCAGATCGAACATGAGCCAGCCCTCATCCCATTCTAATATGTCCCCTGAAAGCTTTTTCACTGTCTTTCAGAGCCAGCTGGAATTCAGCTTGACACCTGGGCCAGACCAGGGCATTTACGTCTCTCAGGGGGACGCCAAACCTGCAAAGACCCCTCACTCCACTCAAAATGGCAAGAGTGCTACTGGAACCAAGGTACTTCGTGTTTTGTGGAGGGGGGTTACCTGATCTCAAAAGTAGATCTTATGTTTGAGGCTTTGAAGGTTCTCACTTGGGTTGAAGTCATGAGAAGATCCACACATGCCCTGCACACGCATTTCTCTCTTTTTTTTTTATGCAAAAAATGCAAGAAAAGGGAAAGAAACAAAAGTGAAAGTGGGTTGACGTATGCTGGACCAGATTGCTGGCACTCTGCCACCAGATTTATATTATTGCATCATATAAAACGACTTATTTGTTTTACCAAGGTGTCGGTGAGCGAAAGCAGGCGTCCCGAGGAGGAGTCTGCTTTCTGGAAGATCAGCGCTGAGCGTTCGCGCCTGGAGGGCGAGCAAGCAGACTTCCAGTCACTGACGCCCAGCCAGATCAAGTCCCTTGAGAAAGGGGAGAAGACGCTGCCCTCGTACCTCCGCCAGGTGAGCAATGGTCCACTCTAATAAATTTTGAATAACAATTTACAGGGGGAAAGAATTTTATTTTAAAAAAAAAATGAATACAGCAAATATCACAGCAGTCTAAAAGCTCGGTGGTCCTTATTAAGAACAGAGCTTCAATGTGTTTGGCCACAGGAGACGTCTTTCCCCGTCAAAGAGCCGGAGTCGGAACCTCACCCTCTGGCGCTGTCCAGGCCGGCCAAGCAACGGGCACCCAAACCTCCTGCACCACAGCCTCCTGTCGCCGCACCCCCGGCTCCTGCCGCGATCTCTATTTCGCCAACACCCGTCCCTCCGCTCAGCGTCTCGTCATCGGTGGCAGGCTGGGAGCGGTCGCAGAGCACTCTCCCAGTTGTTAGCTACACCGTGGATGAGGTGTTCCCCAGCCCCCTTGTCAAGAGCCCCACTTTCCCCGGCAACAAGGAGAAAGAGGACAACGCCTCGCCTGGTAGTCCTACCTTTTCCCAGGTGACCTTGACTGCAATAATTCAACTCTATTTTAATTTCTACACAGTGAACACTTATACCGGTTTGCCTCCTATGTGAGCTTGAACATTAGCTTCCATCTGGGTCTAATATTGGTTTCTAACATTAACTTAAACCTTAGTTTGTAAGCGTCATAATTGTCCATCACCTCAATTGCTCACTAACATGTCCTCTCGTTTCAGTTAAACGCCAGCAACAACATCCTGAAGACAGGATTCGACTTTCTGGACAACTGGTAAACCGGGCGGTGAATAAGGGGCCACTGGATGACGTCATCGCCACTTCACCGACATTCCACTCATCCAATTACATGCCCCAATTTTACCGTTTTTGAGGTGTTTGTTGTTATGAACACTTCTCGCTTACCACTGCCTGACCTCTAGACTCCTTTACCAGACCTTTGCCATGCCAATTGCATCAGCATCCGTTAGCTTGATTGGTGTTAGCGAGCGCCACCAATTTCACTCATTACAGAGCTTTTCTCTTGAAGTGCAAAAACTGCAACGTATGCTCTTGTTTGGTGATTAGCTCTAGCACAATACTTTCTTGCTAGTGCGTGTAAACATGCAGTAAAGCCTTTGTTGTTGTTTGTTAGCCACATGCTAACTGCCTTGGCTAATGTAATGAGAGCCAATTCCTTTAGAAATCATATCACATTTTGTTTTGACTTGAGAGCCAAAATACTACAGTTCAGCAAGAAGGTACTCATGGCAACAACATAGTAAACCCCACCAATTGCTAATTGTAGCCCTCATCTAAATGTTACATTCATTGTTCTTGGATGAATGTTTATCAGGTACTTTTGTAGCCTTGTGTTGACCAATCACACACACGAGTTAGCATCACGTCGCATGCTCGTCTGAATTCTTACACAAGACGTCTTTTTAAAGGCGATGTTGCGACGGGTCCTAAATGCCACTTGAGAACTATTTTACTGAGATATTAGTGCACTGGTTTTCAGGACCACCATGCATGTGCGCTCGCTTTGCATTCTGTGATTATGAAGTCACATTGCAATAAAGAAAAATCAGGAAAAAGTTATTTTTTTTGTCTTCTATTACTGTAGACATCAGTCAACCAAATCCACTTTTTTCCGGGGGTGCACTGAAAACAAAGCTAGTTACATCATTTGGCCACACAAAGGTGCCAAATTCAAATAAGATGGGTATTGCATTGCTTGTAGAAAGAAATTTGAACATTTATTCAGTAGCCTTAGTACAAAGTTTAAGGTCCGTGTACTAATCAGCTCTTCGACATCACCGGAAAGACTATTTAGTGCACGAGTAGAACCAGTAGAATTATCGTATATCTTATGCAAGTGATATGTTTTGCATGACTAGTGCCACTTTGGCCACATAGATGTCAACTAATGCATGGCTTAGCACCACTCCAATATTAAAATAGTCCTATTACGAGTTTGCCAAATTTGCCCTACTATTGAGTACTAACAATACTAGTACAAACCATACTAGTACACGGTCCTAATGCTCAAATGGTGTTCGTAATCATTCATATTTCAGTTATAGCAAGGACCTGACAGCAAGAAAGGGGCGCCTAGTTCGCACAGCTTTGCATCGGTCGCACCTCTTCACGGTGTCGTGAGTGTGAGGTGTGACGTCATTGGCGTGCAGTGGAGCGCCACTACTGCTGGCTTCCTGTGCGGCTAGCTCGGTTGAGCTAGACGCTGTCCGCAGGATGTCGCTGAGTGTGGGTCGGTCCATCGGGTACTTGCTTGGGTGGGACAGGAGCACTTTGTTGGTATCGCTGAGCAGAAAGTCACCTCCCATCTGGAAAAATATATTTTCAGGACTTAGCATTATGTGGCTAACAATATTAAACTGGCTAGCTAGCAAACATAGTGGGATAAGTTAGGTTGCAAACAGGCTGACTGAGGCCAACTGGCTACCTGAAAGCTAGCTGGCTAGTTGCGATAAGAGTCAGATGTACCTGGTAGATGTCCTCCAGCATGTGCATGGGGAATTCGGGGAATTCTCGTTTGGCAGCTTGGTACTCGGAATACCGGAGCATGGAGTCAAAGTTCATGACTTTAGCACAGGACGAGATCAGTCCAAAGCTCCGGTAGATCTAAAACCAACAGGACAACTATTTAGCTGGAATTAGGGCTAGGTCATATTTCTGCCTTAAAATAATGTTTCCCACCCCAGCCCAAAAGTCAGAATTCCCGTCTTTAGGAATGTTCAGCGACATGGACTCCAACTTTGCATTCCAGCCGGAAAAACTGAAAGTGATTTTGTAAACTCACTACTCTGTTAGCAATAATTGCAGTCACGCTTTGCACAACAGACTAAGATGGAGAAAAAAATGGAATAGACTCAAACAAATGGGTGAAATAGATTATGATAATTACGTAGCCAAAACTGTAATCTACCTTCCTCTGTGGATCTAGTACAAAGTCCAAGGAGCATTTAGTCTGCTGCAGCCACAACCGAGCCCCCTCCAGGGCCCCGAAAGACACCACCACGACCTTCACAGACTGAGCCTCCAAGGCAGCCTGGAGATGACAAGAAAACATGTTTAATTGGAGTAATTTTTATGTTTGTTTGGTGACTTCTGGGCTAACTAACCCTGCTGCCCTCCAGCTCAGCCACATGGTCGCGTCATGGTAGTCATCCGAAGTGTCTGATGAGGACCAGCAGAAGCTTCTGACCCGGCAAACGGTAGTGATCCAGGGTGACACTCCTTCAAATGCAACACAATCATATTTAGAGTTGTCTGTGCGGCCAGCTGGCCAACTAAACTTACCTGACAAGCTGTGGTTTAATGGCGAACAATACTTAAAGGGCTAAGTGCAGATTAAAAAAAATACATTCTAGCTAGAGAGCTGAGGTTAACTTGATATCTGAGGCTAACAAAAATCTTGGGGTGGGATAGGAGAGAGCATGTTGAAGGGGGTGTGTGATCAAAATGTTTTGGGAAAGGGCTGCTATATAATGCTAAATTGACATAGCTATAGGTTAAAATGTCCTTTTTAAGTTTCAGAGGAATGCACTAATTTTGCCACAAGTGTTAAAACGGCATTGCGCATACTCACTTTCCACTCCGTCCATCAGTCAACAAAGTTTCAGGGCTAAAGATGTCTGCTGTTTCTCCTCCTAACTTCACAGGAGCACATGACTGAAGACTTCGGTCCACATGCTGATGTCTGCTGTTTCTCCTCCTAACTTCACAGGAGCAAAAGATGACTGAAGACTTCGGTCCACATGCTCCAGGAAGGAGTCCCACTCGCTCTGTGCAGACACATACACACACACTGTTCAAAGAGGAGCAATTGTATAAAGATTGTGCATTTCGTGGTACAAACCTGGAGCTGAAGTAGCTCCTCCACCTGTTCTCTCACTGCTGGATGGCTGTGAAAACACAAATAAGCATTCTGCACTTTGAATAACTTGCTTATTACAAATACATCAGAACCTTCAAAGCGCGAGTGCAATTTGAACCAATATCTGCCTGAAAAAGTCAAACCAAATTAATATTTGCATTCTCACATTTGCTTTTTCTTTTGACTTTTTTGTATGACTCAAGGAGGGGTGACTGTGACAAGAATAAATGTACTTTATAGCGACATGTGTTATCATGGCGATCATTTAACCTGCTACACACACTTAGGTGGCATGTTAACAATCATATGGTAATCTGCGAACTTTGGTTTATTTACACTTACCGATACAACTTCTGCCAGGCGGCCTGGGCTTCGCTTTTGTTCTTCACTCCAATGCTATGAAGGAGCAAGTAAATTAATGTGTGCTATGGTATTGTAATGTACAAAACCTACTGTTGTTGCTGTTGTTTTTCAAATCATTTTTCAGCACAAGGTTGAATGAAGCTCACCTCTCGTAGAAATCTGCTCCAGCTGCAATCAGGCCCAACAAAGTGGCAATTTTGTAGGGGACAAAGTCCTCCATGGAATCTTGAAGAGAACGACAGAAACTTGATTTGTTTGAACGTTTTAGAATGACAATCTGCAATTCTCTATGAAGAAGCAACACACTACACTGTGGAGGAAAAAAAAAACGTAAAAAAAAATTAATGCAACTAAAAACATCTTTGTTTAGGATACGCTGCTGTGAACAGGTTTCAACTCAAGTTAAGGTACCTGATGCTTTATTGACATTTGATCGAGTTAAGGGTGCTTCAATCAAAATGAAAACAAAATCCAAATTCGACACAGCTGATTTTGCCCCGAAAATATGACAGCGCATTTTAGAAATTAGTTTCATTGTGACTTCTATGTAGAATGAATGGCATAAAAAAGCGTTTCAAACAGCAACGTAAATGTCTATGAATTCGTAAAAGTACTGTAAATGAATGGAATGGTCCAAAATCACTTTTCCTACCCTCCGCATCCTTCTTGGCCTGCTGTAGCAGAGCATTGCCCAGACTGACGAGCTGCTTCAGAGCGGCAGCGAGGCTCTCCTCCTCTGGGATCACGTCTGTCTCCATGCCCAGAAGTGTTCTCCTGAAACACTAAGGACAGTAGAGTACTGTACTCCGACGATAAAACACATTAAACGTGGTAGGAGGGCACTTCCGGGACATCACGTGACCACTACGTCGAACGGAAGGATTTGGCGGCCTCTAGCTATAAAAAGGAGAACTGCAGGATTACTTTACATAGAGTACCATTCAGTCAAATCTTCTCTTGCTTGGCTGAACATTCTGTGCAAGCAGCCATTTCCCAATTACAAAAAAAAGGCAACAAAGAACACATCAACACGTCTCAATCAGTTTATTGGCTGGAAAACATTCACTCAATAATCCCTGCATGGTAAAAAATAACAGTTGATACTTGGAACTAAAAGCTTGAACCCCCCCCCACCCCCAAGACATTCAAAGGTGAACTGTCGCAAGGCTTTTGCTTCCATGCTGAAACTAATTTCAACGAACATGAGTAAAATCAGAAATTTGGAAACAAAAATAAAACTAATATAAAACGTGAGTTTTGAGGAATTTTGAACTAGTGAATCCAAGATGCCCAAATAAAACCTTTGGAACTGTTAGAAACAACCCAAAACCTTATACCCACAAATGGTGCTCACAAAAATAACCTTTTTGTTTGATTTTTTTCTCCATTAATTTAGCATTCCCAAAACTATGAAAAAGCTTTCACAACCCTGTGCTCAAGTAAAATGTGTGTAAACATCACATCCTTGTTTACTTCTAATAAAAATTGGGTTCTATTTTTTTTTTAACTTAATTTGACAATCTCAACTTTGTCCAAACAAACAAATGTTTTCCCATATTCCTGAGACAACTAATTCATCCTAATATCCCCTTAAGGTAGACTTCATCAATACTGCCACTATAAAGTTTGTAAACTGTTGCGCTTTACCCCCAAATAAATGCATCTCCAAATACGCTATTTTGGAGACACTTTTTGATGTGCTTTACTTGTGTGCTTTTTCTCACTTTACATGAGTCACTTTGTGTGTTTGTGCGAGTGACAGAAAAATAATTCCGGTGTTTAAATAAGATGTGCTGTGAACACAAACCTAATTGTGCCACCCTCTTTTTTACACTTGTTTGGCAGAATTTTCCCGATGTAACTTTTGTTCGATTTTTGTAAATTCATTGTGAATTCTCAGTCAGTCCCTTTCTCCCACCAATTTAAAACTTAGTCCTGAACTAAACTCCCGTTCACGTGTGTTTTGTGCTAGGACTTCTTTGAACATTGTGACGACGAATCTGCGTTGAGGACTTCGATCATGGTTCTGATGGATGGGAAGGTCTCGGCCACGGAGGGCAGACTCTGGTACCAAGAGGGCAAACTTCGGAGCACAAAAACAACAATATGAAATTTATTATGAGGCTTATGATTAAATTACAGATTTCATTCATCTCACCTTTTGAATTGCATCCAGCTTTTTGCCGTTTTACTGAAAGTCTCCGGACTGGGCGTCGTCATGGCTTCAAAGTCCACCAGCTTACAACAGAAATAAATCACAAGCCCAGGTCAAATGGATTGTTGTTTGAAAATATACATCTCTATATTTCTCCGGAACAACAGATGTCTCACGTTTAAGTTATATTACCTTTCCTTTGGGGATGCGACCACTGACTTCATTCCCACTGGCCATCACTGCCCCCATCATGACAGAGTAGGCCACCACGCTGACCACACATGACGAAAAATAGGTATGACTGATTATTTCTTGTCTTTTTTATGTGATAAATGCCAATGTCAGGGATGTACGACTCAATCTATGTACAGCGTGGGGATCGCTGGACTTTGGCGCTCAAACTGTGTATCTTTCAAGGTACTTTGAGTTTAGTTCTTTTCAACCGGATTTGATGGCCCTTGGCAATGATTACCTGGAGCCTCTGGAGAGTGGCATGAGGTTACAAAAGTAATAGACCAGAGAGAGGATCAGGTTGCACACGGCGTCAGCGTCCTGGAAAGAGCAAAGGTTGCCTCGGTCAGGTGGAAAAACAATCATGACAAAAAATGTAATGAACTACGTATGGCTTTCACGTGGCTGAACCGAATGTAACCTCTCCATAGACGGACAAACAAGGTGAGGGCTCAGTGACCATAACATTGTTGACCAGAACTGTGCTTTCTGAAAAAGCACTTTTACAGTGCACTGCAAAACACACACTGCCCATTTGTTATTGCCTTTTATAAAATATCTCAACTTTAAATTGGTATTTGAAATTAGGTTTACTTCTATTTCGACGTGGTACTTTCTATACTAGCACCACCTTTCAATGTAGATGTCACTGCTGAAACAATTCCCCCAAACACTCTAAAATTCTATTTAAACATTTATTCAGTCTGTTTTTTATTTAGTTTATATTTTCGACTAATAGAAAAAAAGTTTGTTTTTTTTTTTTAATAGTCCAACCTGCCCAGTGAGGACATACTGTTGGTATTACAAGTCCCAGAATGCATTGCAACAGCTTTTTCGGTCTGGTTTGTACTCATGTAGCTCGTGAGCGCTTTCCTAAGCCGCGGGGAAATAACCCATTTACTTGCTCAGAAAAGTTATGAAATACTAATTTATAGAACTAGCGGAACAACTTCTAATGTGTGCTTGCGCGCTCGGTAACAAGCGATTGTTTTTCTAATCCCTCCAAAAGATTACTCCGACACTATATATGCTGCTTCCGATTCTTCGAGCAAACGCACCGCAAACTCGGCGGAGAGCATGAAGACCTTCCCTTTGGTCGTCAGCTCCCGGTAGATGGACTCGATCTCCGACTGGTACTGCTGCGTGCGTTCCTCCGTGGTCTGCGTCTCCACGGAGAACAGCATGTTGCCCACCCTGGAAGATGGCAAAAACAAATTCGTATAAATGCTGAAGAGCTGTTGAAGTACACAAATGATGTGGAGTTAATGTGTAGAATGTGGGGGGGATTACAAAAAGAGAGGATTAAATAAAGATGATGATGATAATACTGCCTGGTCACCTGTCTCCCGTAATGGTGATAGTGAAGCCATCATATTCTTTGCCAGGATCCTTCAAGCTGGGCACTTTGGAGTTGACGGTGAAGCCATCCCTGGTTTTACTGTTAAACTGCTTCAGGAAACAAACATTGAGCTGCACATGCATGCCGACAGCACTGTGAGTCCACCGTTTCCCTCACTTCAGCCTTACCTTCATGATAGGAAGAAGATCCTCCACTTTATTTACCTTCTCCAGGGCTTGGCGGACTTCGACCAACCCTTTAGGGTTGTACGCCCTGCGAAAATGAAAATTATAACAATGTCCATTTCACAGGGAGGAAAGCGGGGTGACCACCACCATGCGTTCGCAGAAGTGTGCTACAATTTAAAATGATGTGTACATTTCGTTTATGTATGATTGTCATGTTGTTGTTGGTTATCATGAAGGCAGAACAAGCACGAAAGCTAACACCGTTTCAGGCTGAAGAAAGCAAAGTGTGGTTGCAAAAGATGTGATGTGAATGCGCACCCGTGGTAGACCAGTATTCTGTCTTTGATGAAATCCAGGATGTTGTCAAAGTAAGCCAGGTACCTGATGTTAATAATCTGGCCCCTGAGGAAAGAGGGTAAAAAATGGTCTTTTGAGGAAAAAAAAAATCCAATGAAAGCGAGGTTATTAAATCCTGCATGCCTGATGAGGTTGATGTGATTGTTGAAACCACGACTGAGACTCCTGGCAGGCATCTGGTCTAACCACAGAACCGGCTGGTCGGGATCAGCAATCCTCCAGACAGGAAAATAAAGAAATAATTCAAAAGTTTTAGGAGTCTGGCTCGTCTGCAAACATAATCAGGACAAGCCACAATCGGTGGATATCATCCTATGACACTGGCAAGGAGCAAAACTAGGGGCAGTCGTGCATTTAGACTTGGTTAAACCATAAGATGTTAGATTTGCTACCTCCTCCACTTGACGGCGATATCAAACATGTCCCTCCACTGCATCTGCCTGGTTCTGCCATTGACGCGCACTTTGGCGTTGCTCCACGTGCGCTGCATGGCCTGCATCACCTCGAGTGTCGCCAGGCCCATGGCTGGAGAGAGCAAAGCACATCCCGTTATTTCCCCATTTCATTTCTTTTTTGAAATGCAACTACCTGAGTACTCATGTGGTCATTTCAGACACCTCTGTGTATCCTCTTGTTGGGCAAGAAGCCCGGCGTGTCGTACTGCATCATCGCCCCCAGATGGTCGGCCGTGCAGATTAGCTTCTGGACGTCACTGCTGTAGGACTCAAAGTTCTGCGGCAGCACATCCCTGAAAGGGAGTGAAGAGTAGTTGACGGATGACCAGCATCGTTGAGTTTTGGTTTTATTGTGGAAGCAGTTTGAGAAGAACGAGGAAAGACCTTCTCACTGGATGCTCGCAACTTGCTAGCCATGCTCTCGGTAAACGGAAACACAGGTTGACGGGTTTTAAGTAAGCCGGATTGTCGTTCATCTTGACCATTTTTAAAAAGGCCATTTCTACATACAACGTATGCATTATTATTGCTAAACTGGAGAAAACGCTAGGGGGAAAAAAAACTATATGGAGGGAGCAACTAAGTACTTGATATGCGGCTGCAGGCCGGGCTGCTCCTCGTAGTCTTCGATGAGAAAGGGCAGATTTTTCGCCCAGTGATTCTTAAAGTTGCCCGGCAAGTCCTGGTCCACGTTGTATTCGGCGACCGGGACATCCAGGTGGGAGTGCAGGTAGCGAGAGTACTCTGGTTTCATGAAGCAAAAATCACACGAGTTATACTCAAAGTGATCTGGAAATAAAAAATTACCACAATTACGGCCACCACCTCGGAGGTATTTGACTTTGAGGTATTCGGGGCTGGCCTTCTGTCCCAGCAGTGGGTCGTTGAGCATGACTTTGGTCTGTGCTTTGATGCCCTCATAGAACTGCCCCATGGCCACGTGACTCAGGCCCTTCATGTACTGGCAAACCTCATTGTATGGCTCCAGCTGCAGACACCTCTGAATGGAAAAGACGCCGTTTATTTGTCTTGAAATGAAATGAGACAAATGTGGAAGGGAGTATCAATATCCTGCAAAATGGCCACGGCAGATCTGAATCAGAAAATACAGCATGTATCCATTTAGCCGTTTCATACGGCCGTCAACGTGTGCGCTTTGAAGCCCGCGGGACCACCTTAAAGTTGCTGATGGCCTCCTGGAGGGAGCCGTGGTGGTAGAGCATCATGCCTCGGAGCTGCAGGGATTGGATGTGGTTCTGGTTCAGCATGAGGGCCTTCTGGAAGCTTTCCATCGCTGCGTCAAAGTCGCCTAGCTCTCTGCGAGGACAGCAAAGGAAGAAGAGTAGAATGAAACAGGTTGAGAAATATCAGTAAAAAAAAAAAAATTAAATTAAAAAGGACAACAGGAAGTTGCCAAACCTGTAGGCTTGTCCCAGGCTCTTGTAAGCATCGATGAAGTCAGACTTGAGCTTCAATGCCTCTTTGAACGTCTCAATGGCCTCCTGAGGACACAACAGAGCTTGGTATCATTTTTTTTAAAGACCCATGGATGGCGGATTGGAGGTCTCCAACCAGCCCTCAGAGTAAAAATATTAATTTGGTCACCAATAAGTCAGCACCTTGAGCAAGCCTCTGTGGAAGAAGGTGAGGCCTTTGTAGAGCATGGCGATAGGTTGATTCTTCTTCAGCTCCAAAGACTGCTGGAAGTCCTCCGACGCCGCCACGTAGTCCTGGTAGAAGTGACAGGTGATGGTCAGCATGCACACACACAAATATTGATTGTATGGGGCGGGGGGGATTAAAAGGTGTATAACGTCGCGCAAGTCCCGACTGAAGGCCCTGCTACCAAATGCACAGCCCGCCACCGATAGAAACAAACGTGGACACACACACAGAGTGTTTTATATTTCAAACCTCTGAGATGAAAAGCAGTGTCCCTCTGTGTCTGTAGAGTCGAGCTGATGGTTGGAGCTGGATGGCTTTGGTCAGGTCTGCCAGAGCCTCACTGATGCGACCCAGAGGAGACAAAATCTATGCATAAACACAGCAATCTTATTAAAGCTGAACAGGGGAGTGATATTTTTTGTTGTTGTCAAGAAATGGGAACTTTTGTTGCCCTGTGGTGAGATTGCGGCTAACCTCTGCTCTCTGTTCGTATACTTCAGGCCAGTTGGGCTCCAGTGTGATGACTCTGGTGAGCTCATACAGCGCCAGGTCAGCATTTTTGATGTCCTGGTGAGTGCAGCGGAGAGCAACAGCAGTTGCAGATATGTTTTTAAAAAAATAGCTTTAATAAAATATTTTTTTTTAAAAAGCAAACCGTGTTTCACATTTTTTGGGGAAGTACATGATTTACTTTGCAGTTAATAACGAAAGGATGTAAATGACAGAAAATTCAGTCGCATCAACATGGCATCATTTAAACAATTTTATGTCGTTCACCTGATGACTTTTTTTGCCGTAGGCGATCCCTCTGCCATAAATGGCACTGACCAGCTCGGGGTCACTCTGCACCCAAAGGGGAAAAAAAAACATCATTCAGATATTGAGATTATGATGACATGATCATTGGACGTACCTGCAGCAGGAGGGAGAAGTGTTTAATGGCTTCGTCATAGAGCCCGTTGCCAATCAGAACGTAGCCAATGGCTAAACAACAAATGAAAAATAAAACACAAATTGGAGGTGATTACCCAGAAGGCAAGAGTCTCATTTAGGACAACCTACCAAGTTCTTCGTTTGTGTTGACGTTTTTGACGGGGTGGGGGATTTTCTTCTGGTCTATAAACAGTTTGGCTTGATTCTATGCAGAAACAAAGAACATTTCCGTATCAGATTATACATTTTATGATGCGTGAAGTATTTTTCTGGTGTGTGATCTCACAAGAATTTTCTCAGCATTCAGCGAGAAAATTGACTCGCAGGGCTGGTTGCTGCCTTCCTCACAGCTTGGGTCGTCCAGCTGCAAAATGGATGATTCTGAAAAGAGGCATGTGAGACATTGAGGACCAAGACCATCTGAGGTTAAAGCGTACTTGAATACATTAGAATTCATAGGTGTCAAATTCAGGTCCTGGAGGGCCACTGTCCTGCATGTTTTCCAAGTCTCCCTGTTACAACACACCTGATTCAAATGAACAGTTTCAATGTCAGGCTTCCGCAGAGCTGGCTGATGATCTGATCATTTGAATCAGGTCTGTTGCAACAGGGAGATTTGGGGAAAACATGCAGGACACCGGCCCTCCAGGACCTGAGTTTGACACCTATACATTAACTAGATCAAGAGCAACCTGGTTGTTTTATTCATTTTTTTAATATGGGTATTATTTGTTCTCCCTCATCTTTTTTTTTAATTCTCTATATTTTAAAGAACACAAATGATTCACTCGTGTCATTTTCACTTGTTCGCGAACTGTTTAAGTCGAAGAAACAAGTCTTAGCATGATTCCATGCCCATAGCATAGAAAAGCAGTAGAGCAAGATTTAACGATGACACTACTGACTACACAAACTTACGATACATGATTTAACGATGACACTACTGACTACACAAACTTACAAACTTAAAAACTAAACAGGGTGCCACTTGTAGTTTTTGTAACATTTCTAATATTATCAACAATTATTTATCATACCAAATCACTTGTTTCATAGACATTCAAAATATCGACTGCCAGTAGGGGAAAAATAAAGTCGCCCGCTGGCTGTCAAAAGCATTGTCAGTCGCTACGATACGTTAGCATTAGCTCGCTGAGTAAAAGGACGTGGCGTTCAAAACGAAAACACTTTCCTCCCCCGGTTGTTTCCCCTTTTTCGTTTACCGCAGTCCGCCGCGTACTCTTCCCAGTCGGACAGCGAGATGCACCCCTGCTTGTTCAGCTCGCTGTTGAACAGCGTCAGCGTAGAGATGAACTCGGTGGCCAGCGCCGCTCGACACAGGTAGTAGTTGCAGAGCAGCGAGACTACAACAGCGAGCCGGTTGGCAGTGTCCATGTTTGGTGGGGACACACGCGTGCACGCGCTTCCACTTTAGCTCAACTAACCACGCCCCTTATCTCATTCTTTTCGTTCTCATCCATTCATGGGTTGGATTTGAATGCCAGGAGGCAACCGGCGTTGACGTCAATTACTGCCACCTACTGGACTGGAGAGTGGATTACATGAATTTAGAATAAATTATTGAACCAATGAAAGGGAATACATTACTGTTCGTTTTATTAGGGGAGTAATCCCACAGATTTATACATATATATCCGATCTTTTATATCCATTCCTCTTCTTTGGCTGACTTTAACCTCCAACGCCAGCTCTTTTCCATACGCCAAATTTGGTCGTGGCAATGCCTTGTTCCGTGTGGCCCCTCGGGCACAGTTACCGGATGCTTTTTTTCCAGCAAACAATTTTGACATCTTCATCGGTTGAGCAAGGTGTGGTTTCCGCCGCGGCGTTTGAGAGCGGAGTCAGGGGCTCTATTTTTCACCATTTTCAAGACAGTTTTTTTTTAATGTACTTGACAATTGTTTTTATCATTTGCATTTGGCAGGTTTGTTCAACATTCTTCTATATGATGTGTCAAATTTACAAGACATTTATTTTTGCATTACAAGGTCTGACATGAAATTGTGGGATTGCGTAAATCACACTTGTTGAGAAGAAAATGCTTGTTTCTTATGTTTAGAACAAAGTAAAATGAATTCTGAATTACACAGAGTTTGAAATGTAAAAAAAAAAAAACCTCTTTTGCAACCAAAATAATTTTTTTACACACACATTCACGCTCAGATTGACTTCTTTTTCAGTTCAATTGAACAGTTTAGGTGGGATTAAAAAAAAAATGAAATGAGTAATTAAGAGACATGCTTGAGCAGTGAGGTAGACTGATGAAGTGGAAGCTGGTCTCTGCTACATGAGAGGTAGAGAGAAAAAAAAAATCAATCCAAAATCCCCCAAACGGCACTGGTGGGTGTGTATGTGTATATGTACAGACAGGGGCTGTGTTATCATATATACACTCACTGGACACTTCATCAGGTATACACACACACACACACAGTGTAACGGTGAAAAAAAATGCTGAAACTGAATATTTTAATTTCCCCAAAACAACCCCTCAATAGAATCTCCTGGAAAGTTAGAAGAAAAAAAACTATACTTCCACACCAGTTTCACTGACAAACACAAAACTGGGGGTCTAATCGCCATTCAACATGTGTACCTAATGAAGTGAGTGGGAAAAGGCTATGTGTGTATCCACTGCGAGAATAGGGGGGCCATTATGCATCGCCAAAGGACGAGGCCTTGTCCTTCAACAGGTCCACACACACGTGACAACTCCAGCTTCCTGTGGACACAAAATGACAAATGCAAAATTATATTATATCTATTCACAAATTTGATCTTGACTGATTCAAACCATTCCTAGTTAGAAAATGTGAGGGAATGACCTTTCCAACTTGAAGTCTCACATTCAACATTCCAACAATGTACTTAATTCTACAGTATTTCAGTTCAGGTTCATCTCTTCAGCATTCACACAGAATTGGCACAGAAAATATATTCTCTCCTGATTCCCTACGATACCTTCTGGAGGCTGGGTCATGGGTGGCTTGAGGCAGTACATGTGGTAGCCCCGGTCGCAGTCGTCGCAGAACAGCAGCTGGTCCTGAGCGCGACACATTTTATTCCGTTATAGTATGTCATAGAATAGAAAACCTACATTTCGTTTGAGGAACGTACATCATTTTCTGAGGTGCCGCAGAGGCTGCAGGACTTGCACTCAATGCACTGCCACTGGTATGTTCTCACTGCGTGCATCATGTTGTCGGTGAACTGCAGACATGTCGGGTGGCCTGTGCAAATGTGTGGGAAACCAAAATTTGTATGTTTAATGCAAATATTACAATGTAATATATTACAATAACCGTGCAAACTCATTTGGCTGTGTCGTAAACTCTGGTGATGACCAATGTGGACAAACCTAAATGTTAACATCATTAAAAATGAATTTTTGTCAAACCTATGATTAATGTGCCATTCAAAAAGCCTCTTCATGACCTCACAGCATGTTAGCATCTTGTGCTAGCAGGAGCGATGAATCATCTATAGTAGCTAAAGAATGCAGAGTCCATTAGCACTTAGCAACTAGCATTTTTCATTTTTGTGTGCAAATTCGTGTGGCTGTGTCATAATACTGCTAATAGTTCAACTCTGGTGACGACCAATGTCGACAAACCTAAATGTTGACGCCATTACAAATGAATTTTTGTCAAACCTATGATTAACGTGCCATTCAAAAAGCCTCTTCATGACTTCACACCATATTAGCATCTTGTGCTAGCGGTAGCAATGAATCATCTATAGTAGCTACAGGATGCATAGTCTATGAACAACTAGCATTTTTCTTCTTTAACATTTCCTTGTTTTCTCACAGCAGGCAAAAACTCCCAACTTTGGTGCATGTAGCTGCATCCCATTGACTCGGCGTGTGAGATCCGAAGTCCATTAACCCGCACCCGCGGTGTTCTTTTGTTCCCTTAAAGCATTGATGTTTGGGATTTACCGGAGCGTCCACAATCAGAGCAGGAAACCAGCTCCTCGGCCTGCCCCGTCTTCCTGTTGGAGTCCTGGTCTCCCAGGCAGAAGTCGCAGTAGTCATTGGGAATGATGATGCCGTCGGGACCCTTCTGAGCTACAGTGACACAAAAACTCTAGTTCGGAAGATGCAGCTACTGTATAGATCATCACATAATGTCACGTCATGGTGAAAAGGTCTGTTGGATCGGATAGTTAAGTGCTTAATACGTTTGTGGTTGTCGGAGAGTCGCGTGGGGGACGGGGCCGGCTCGCTGTCCTTCTCCTCCTCGCCGCCTTCCTCCTCTGCCAGATGGGTGTGCGTGTAATGGTA